GGGGCTCTGCCAGAGGCCGGGCCAGGAGCAAGGGGTAGGGGAAGGTCTTGGAAAAGTCGCCGGGGCCACCGGGTGCTGGCGAGAGGCGCTCGGACTTGATGCTGACGTGGGGGGTCAGTGGGGAGGCACCGCGGGCTGGAGCACCCTCCTCGCCCAGGCTGCGGCCCCCACTGCAGGAGGGCGGGAGAGAGAGAGAGAGAGAGAGAGAGAGAGAGAGAGAGAGAGAGAGGGCGCATGAATGAGATGGGGGCCGTGTGAGCTTTGCGAGGAAGGAGAGAAACCCGGAGGTGGCACGGCTTGGGCAAAGGCTTGGCGGGAGGACCTTGGGAAAGGAGGGGGTGGCCTTCCCTCTTGGGGCCTCCAAAATAGAATCCCCGCCCCGCGCCCCCCGCCCTCCCGCACCCGCACTCCGGAAGGGCTGGGTGCAGAAACAGGAGTGGCCACCAGGTGTCAGCAGTGGCTGGGGGCTTCGGAAGCGGTGGAAGGGCCCCACGGAGCCTGACTCGGGGTTGGAGAGGCATCGGGGCACTTACCTGGGCTGGGCAAGGCCGGCTAGGGGCCCATCACCCCTCGAGGGCTGCCAGGGGGCCAGGGAAGGGGGCTGCAGCAAGCCGGGGGGGGGAGGGGGGTCTCCCAGCCCGGCCTGTGCCCTCTCGCAGTCTGGGACCCCTCGGGAGATAACGACCTGCTGGCTTAGGCCTGCTCCCGGGTGGCAGAGGGCAGTCTGGGGGCGGGGGCAAGAGGAGTAAGCTGAGGCCCCCACCCTAGCCCAAGCCTGATCCACCCCACCAGCCAGTTTTCAGTTGGCAGGAGGGGGCGTGTGGCCTGCCCAGCAGGCGGGTGTACGGATATCGCCCACAGCAGAGCTGGGGGGGTGCATACCTGGGGGGCCTGCTGGGAGGAAAGGGAAGGGTCCTGGAGCTGCGGCCGAGCATGGACTCTGCAGGCTACTGTAGAGGCCTCTCTGTGGAGAAAGGGTGAGGGGGAAGCTGAGGCCCCGCTCAGGCCACCCTGCCTGCCCCCTCAGCCTGGCACCTCGCCCCCCCCTCACTCACTGAGGCGCTCAGTCCCCCTCGGGCCCCTGCCAGGCCTCCAGGCAGGTCTGGCCTCCGCCCGTCTGCTGCCAGGTACAGGGGTGGCGGTGTCTTGCTGGCAAGGTGGCTTGGTGAGAAGAGAGGATGGGCCAGGCCTGTGGAGCAGGAGACCCCCAGGGAGAGGGCAGGCAGCCACGTCATCTACCGAAGTCTGAGTCCAGAGTGATGAACACAGCCAAGCAGTGCTGAGCCAAGACCCCCGCACGCACACACAAGCTCCCCTGGGACCCCGCCCCCACCTTCCCCAGGGCCTAGGCCCCATGCTTACCTGGGGGCCCAGCTTTGGGGGCTGCTGGCCTGAAGGGGGATGGGCGGCTCTGGGCGGGCAGGGCCTCCCCAAGCCCATTGGAGTCACAGCCTGGCGGGGGCAGGGCCCCATATACCATGTCTGGGCTGGGCATGGTGGGGGCTGCTGGCTGAGGGCAGAGAGGACACCAGTGGTTGGAGGACCGAGGAGGTGAGGACACCAAGTCCAGGAGAATATCCCAGCCTCCACCGTTTGGAAGCCCGCACTACTCCCCCCTCTGGCCTAGCCTCCCAGGGGCCAGGCTCTGCTGCTCCTGGACAGCTAGGCCCAGAGCCGAGGCTTCTCACTCAGCATGAGCTTGGCACTGAGGGGGCTTCCCAGGTATTTGATGAATAAAAAAAATAAAATAGAAGGAAAGAAAAGAAGGAATTATCTGCCTTTTGAACTCTTATTCATCTTTCAAAGCCCCAGCTACAATGCCCACTCCTCCAAGAAGCTTTTCCTGCCCACCCAGGCAGAGACCTACCACCATACTCTAGGCTACTTGGCCCTTTTCCAGTCTCGGCCTTGACCACGTGGGCCTAAGAAGTCGGGGGGCAGGGGGGGGCCACATTCATGGCAGGGCGGGGAGTCACTTACATAGAGCCGGGGTCGGGGCAAGGCTGGCTCACCCCCATCACCTGCCAGCCTCCGAAGCTTCTCTCCCGGGCCCTCAGGCCCCTCATCTGGCTCCAGCTCTGGCCCATCGAGGCCCACACCCCTCCGCTTCAGTGTCTGTGGGGAGGGGACACAATAGGATGAATCTCCCCCCATCCTAGCCAGGGAGCCTGGCTGTATGGTGAGGGGAGAGACCTACCCGGCTCTGTGGGTGGGGCAGAGTGCAGGCACAGCCTGCTCCAGCTAAATCCCATTGACCAAAACCCCCAGTGAGTTACCATTTGCTAAGTTCCAACTGTGTGCGAGAGAGGGACTGTCTTGCCCTGAAACCACAGGTCCACCCCGGCCGGCTGGCACTGTCCTAACACTCCTGAATACAACTCTGGTTTCTCCATTCTGCATCCTTGTGCTGCTTTAGAGCCTGGCATGCAGTAGGTGCATAATAGATGTCAAGAAACTGAGCACCTGAAGACAACTTTATAGGACTTTCTGAGCTACCTGGGACCAGTGACCTGCATGGCCCTGGACCTCAGCGAGGTCAGCTTGCTCCACGGTGCCTTTTATTTTCTGTTCTGTACTCACCAAATGGGTGATAGGATTAAATGAGATAATGTGTGTAAGGGGCACATAGTACAGCCCTCAATCTATAGTGGTTGATTTTAAAATATATATATTTCTTGCCCTAACCGGTTTGGCTCAGTGGATAGAGCGTCGGCCTGCGTACTGAAGGGTCCCAGGTTCGATTCCGGTCAGGGCATGTGCCTCTAGGTCTATCCATATTGTCACAAATAATAAAATTTCATTCTTTTTTAGGGCCAAGTAATATTCCATTGTATATAGGTGCTGCCATTTTTTACCCACTTGTCTCTTTTTTAAAAAAATATATATATATATTTCTTTATTGATTTCAGAGAGGAAGGGGAAGGAGAGAGAGATAGAAACATCAATGATGAGAGAGAATCATTGATCAGATGCCTCCTGCACACCCCCCACTGGGGATCAAGCTCACAACCCAGGCATGTGCCCTTGGCCAGAATCGAACCTGGGACCCTTCAGTCGGAAGGCTGACACTCTATTCACTGAGCCAAGCCGGCTAGGGCAGTTGATTTTTTTTAAAAAGGTTTTTTATTGATTTTCCTTTTTTGAGAGAGAAGAAGTGAGAGGGGGAGAGAGAGAAACATTGATGTGAGAGCGAACATCGATTGGCTGCCTCCTGCATGCCCTCTACTGGGGATCAAGCCCACAACCCTGGGCATGTGCTCTGACAGGGAATCGAACCCACAACCTTTAAGTGTATGGGACCACGCTCCAACCAACTGAGCCAGGGCTGATTGATGTTTTTATTTCTGCTAGCCAGGTAACTACCCCAGAGAGACTCTAATGCCCGAAACCTGCGTTAACTGGCAGCAAAGCTAGACTGCAACACTCATCTTTTGTACAAACCAAGAGTCCCAGGCTCTGAGCCAGCAGAGTGTGCTGGCTCCCCGGGGAGGAGGGCCCAGGGTACCTCGAGGATGTCGGTGTTGGTGCGGCTCTCGTGGGGTTCGCTGTACTCCGTGTACTTGAGGAGCACACGGTCCATGTCTGTGCTGGCATACTGAAAGAGGCGGTTGGCGCTGTTGAAGATGATGAGAGCAATCTCACAGTCGCAGAGCACGCTCAGTTCGTAGGCCTTCTTCATCAGCCCAAACTTCCTTTTGGTAAATGTCACCTAGACCCAGCACCCACAGGTGAGAGGGAGAAGACAGAGACTTGGGGTGGGGTGGGGGAGGTGGAGGGGCCTAACTGTTTTCTGAACATGCCTCATGATTCTGTGCCTCTGTATGTGCTGTTCTTTCTGGCTGTTCTTCTCACTTCTCAATCTGGCAAACTCCTATTGATGCTTCAAAACCCATCCCAAATGACCTCTCCTTTGGGAAGTTGTCCTTGGTCTCCTAGGCAGAGCCCACACTCCCTCTCTGAGCTTCCCCAGTTCTGTGCCTCCCTCTGACCCAGGCCTCTGAGTAGGGTGTGTTTGTGTCCAGGTCCATCTCCTCTGTGAGCAGGACTTCAATAAATCATTATGAAAATGAGCAAATGCTACATCTCAAACTCCAGACTTGTCTTCAAGACTCATTCCCCTACAATTCCCCCAAATCGCTAGGCCTTTGCCCAGGCTGTGTCCCCTGCCATGAATGCCTTCCCACCCAATGAACTCACTTGACGATTCCTTTGGTCCAGAATGCGTGAGATCTGTATTTTTTTCCTCCCCATCGTCCTAGGCTGGGCAGAGCAACCTTGGTCTGTGGGAGAAGGAAAAGAGGACAGAGTGAGTGGGTGGAAAGTGGGGTCAGGCAACCAGCTTTCCTTCTGTCCTCCACTTCCCCCTGCCAGGCACTGAGGAGAGGTGATGGGGGAAATCGAGGCAGGCTGGGCCCCCCCCCCAGGGCCCCCATTCTCAACCAGACCAGGATACAGTCGATATTCAATGAACACCTTTGCACCAATTCCACATGAGGCGAAGGCTCACCCAGGCCCAAAGATGGCAGTGCAGATGCTCCTGCCCCAGCATCTAAAACATTACCCCCTGGTAACTATGGACCTCAGGGAGCCTGCCCGCCTCGGGCACCTGTCTGCAGTAGGGGCGGGGCGGGGGGGCAGTGTTGTGTACTGCTCATTGTTGCTGGGGACGAAAGGAGCTAACCTTCCTGCCTGGCACATAGCAGATGCCGCATACGTATTGCCATTATGAATATTGGCAACAGCCTCAGAGCCCTCAACAGGCCAGGTTGGAGGGACATCGCTGCAGCGCTCGGTAATCCTGAGAGTGAGCCTGATCCGCCCATCGGACACCTTTCATCTCATTCAACACGCAACAGCTCCTCAAACTAAGATCGAGGCCCGCGGTTACAAAAACAAAACAAGTCCAGCTGGTGTAGCTCAGTGGTTGGATGCTGACCTATGAACCGGGAGGTCAGGGCACATGCCTGGGTTGTGGGGCTCAGGTGTGTGTGTGGGGCGGGGGGGGGGGGGGGGGGGGTGCAGGAGGCAGCT